TGCGAGAGCGAGACACGAACACACGACGCTCAATTTCAACAGGTCGTTATTGAAATTTAAAACTAAATGGTGATCCTGTGCAATAATTTTAACTTCTGTTATGTTTTAAGTGTTTGAGTTAAAAGTTTTATTAGGTATAAAAAGCTTCTAGGCTTTTTATTTTAAAAACTTATGAGCTTTTACTGTGAGTGATCATTTTTCGTTTGTTTTGAAATATAGATATATAGTTATTTAGAGTTTTCAAAAGTTTTTATTTTGATTGTTTGATGCTAATAAAATGATTTCGACGCTTGGTCGCTTCGCTACCTGCGGCGTAGTGGTTCAGTAATCAATAAGCTGTCAAGGGTCGCGGATTGAATTTTCGGTAAAACTATTGTAAATATATGTGTGTGTACAATTATTTTTATGAAAATTAAATCAATTATAGCTACATAAGCCTCCATTATGTTTATAAAATACAAAATATTTCGATAACTTCAAAACGTATATTAGATTAAATAGGTGTTTCAGCTGGAGTATTTCTTAAAAAAAAACATTATTTTAAGAAAACTTCACGAAAAAATGGACTTCCTGTATAAATAAATCCTATCGTTCTAATCAAAAGTGATCAAAAGTTTTCCCAATTTAAAATTCGAATGATTAAAAGTTTGTCAATTATTACTTTAGGCTCAAATCATAATTTTCTAGCACATGTTTTACGTTCCTGTCGGAAAAGAGTTAAGATTATATGGAGCTAGAGATGGCTGGAAAGGATTTTACGTTCTCGAGTAATTACGTAACTAATATCTTTTAGTTTTTTCCGTTTACTATTGTGTACTACTAACTGTATACATTTGACTAAGAAATATTCTTCTTATTTTGTTGAGTATTTTAAAAATCTCGCTTTACATACAAATATCGAATTTTTATTCATTAGGGATAAAAAACAAAGCAATAAGTTTTAACGTCCTACTCGTTTCCATTTTCTCCTTTCTTGAAAGATATAAAAAAGTGTCAGATTGGCTAAACTTTCTTTTTTCACGGATTTTGATTTATAACCGGTCTTCTTGCTTAAAATTTATGTCTGGTCCAAAAATAAATTTTCCATTAATTACAATAACATTATTTCAATATGTTTTACATTAGAAATAGACTGACTTATCTATCTCCCGTTTCTTTCATTATAAATATCAGTATCCTTAGAAATGAAGGCAACCAAACTAAAGTTACATTAAATTGGAATAAAATATTATAATAGCCAGTTAAATAGTCTTAGTTGTTAGAAGTCCTTAACTGTTTCAGTGTAACACAAACACGAGAGACGTGTACATAAAACGGGCTCCGGACTCGTTAAATATGTACCCCGTGTTCTCTGATTGCTGAGCGAAAATACGGGGAAAGAGCATTTTTTAGTGATTCCCCGTTTTAAGCATGTGTATACTAATACTTGTAGCAGAATGATATCACCACTGTGGTCAAGTTAATCCTTATTTTTTGTTTGTGTATAAATGCAACATGTTTATGTTCATATTTTTAATGAGTTTAAACCGCTCTTTATATGTTTATTTTAATGTTTTATTGGTATTCTTATAAAAAATAAATAAAATAACATATAAAAAAAAATACAGTTTCCTATCTTAATAATTATGATGGTAGGCTATATGTGTACACTGTTAGAGGTAGACCAAAAAATACACGGATGGATTGTGTGAAAGGTGACATGATCAAGAAGGGAGCGATGACTGAGATGACGGATGATAGAGTTATTTTGAGGCCGAAAACCCGGTATGTCGAAGTAGAATCAGGTAGGGAAGAAGATAGAATTTGATGGTAGGAAATCTTTGTTTTTATTTAACCCTTCCAAATTAGAACATAAAACTATTTAAATAGACGAGCTATTCTTTTGAAAAGGGTCAGTAAAAGTCTTTCGATGTAATTCAGATCTAATATTAAGTGAATTTACCGTTTATTGTATTGACGTTCCAAAAAAAGAATCGTTTTATTCCGCAAGTGATGTTGGTAGTCATTACACGTATATTTCTATCATATTTCGTTTTCCGATCGTTGTTTTAAGAATGTACATCGGTCTGTTGGAAGCGGATATGCTAAATAAAACTTCACACATGTTTTTATTCCGTTCAGTTTATGAATCTAAAATAACGTTGGTGTTATTTAAAATGTTTTATTAGAAAATAGAGCTCCTACGCTGTTTTTTTCTTCAAATTGGTTATAAACGGAGCAACAAGTAAAGTGGATAATGACCTACATTCAGTCCACGCCCCGATATATAATGCCGCTTGTTACTAACAATA